AGCTCGCACACCTTAAAAACTCGGAGCGGTGGTTGTGTTCGCGCCAGCATCACAGGTCGGGGGGCAAAGTCAGCTGGCTCGCAGTGGTTGCACCTCTGTGGATGGATGTGCCTGCAGGAGCCCTCAGGGCTTCCTAAACGTGGAGTTTGTTTTTCTTGAATTGGAGCGTAAGCTAAAATATTTACCAGAAATCTAAATATTCCCGGAAAACTGGTAAGCTCTACTCTCGTCAGTGTAACTAGGGCAAATTGTCATCGGTTTCTCTAAGAAAATATTTCGACGGCCCATATCCTGAATGCTTCAAAAGACAAATTGCCTTTAGTCTGAAGCAGCCCTGGTTAAAAGCGGGAACTGAAAATGCTTCCAAATGTAAGGATCCTGGAGCATGTTTATACTTTTCTCGTTTTCTGCAGATCATAAGGACGACATAATGCCACTGTAAGTGGGATGGTCGTTTCTGTGTGATGTCTACTTGCTGCACACCTCCTGCCCTTTTTCAGCGTTAGTACGTCTAGTTCGAGCATTTCGTGATCAAACTGAGTTCGTGTTTTGTAGAAAAATAAATCTGTTCCTCTTAAAAGTTAAATTACTTTAATTTAACAGTTCTCCTGTGAAATCTGTAGTAATAATGAATCGGTCTCAATTTTCTGGAAAAAGTTACTCATTTAAATACTTCAGAGTGTGATCCCAACCTTTAAAGTTTTTGAAATGTCTACTCCAGCGTTTTGGGCACCTGTCCAAACCAAACTGGTGCACCGTAATTAACAGTACACTTTTTTTAGTTTGGCTCTGGGCCTGATATGCTATCCCTGCTCAAGTAACTTTCATGGTCATTTTATATCTTGTGATCAAAAAGTGACACACCGAGGAATTGTAAGGGTTTTGTTCCCATTTTTAACAGGGAGAGCTGCCTGCGGGTGACATATGCAAATATAATACGGTTAATATTTATGAACTTCTTTACCCGGTGGTGGTATTGATCAACATATCAAAGAGCACCAGCGTTGTTCGCTTGTGATGTACTGGCTGTACTAAGGTCAGCATTTAGAAATAACTGTGTATATTTCATGTATAACAGAAAACAGTCATTTTGAAAACGTAAAGCGTCATTTTCCTATGTCTACGTTTGTTCACAGAGTAGTAGCACGGTGCACAGAGTAATAGCACGCTGTAATGGCCGGATGGTCCAACCCCTTGCTCTGGAGCCTGGGCAGTAGTCGACTCTTCTGAACATCCCGCTTACCTTAACAAGGAAGGCTGCATGTGGCCCTTTAATTTATTTCGCTTTTGGTCAGGAAGGCACTGTCATTTTATTAGAATTTAAAGAGGATTAAGCTAAACTCAACGTTTAAGCTGTACATCATGATATTCATTGTTAGCCTTTGACTTTGCTTTTGTAGGAAGCATCAATGTTCAGCAGTTTTCTGCACTTAGGCTGAGGAGAGGGCATTCCCAGAATTTTTTTCTTGGAACCGTGAAACAGGACTTCTCAGTTTTTCAGATTTGAATCATGCTGCTTAGTTTTCTTCGGTGCTTATAATCACTTGCTGGTTGTTCTTTCTGTTAACGAGCACATAACAAATGCACAAAGATGTGTGAATTGCTGGGAGTTTTTTTTTTTTATCTTTAATTAAAAATCTAATGGCTTGAATTTAATTAGCTGTTTAGTAAATGCCTTTTAGGAGGGCCATAAATTAAGGTAATTTACAGTGAAATGTAAAAAATAATTAAAATTATTGTTGGCAAAACTGTGCTATGCATGCGCATGCTCTGCCAGTCAAGTGAGCTTAGCAGAGAGCAAGTTGTCCTTTTAATGCCGCCTGTCATTATCTGGAAGGCAAAATGTTATTGCAGATTGTGCCCTCCAGCACAGGCAGAAATACCTTCTAACATGTCTCTTGAAGTTGAAAATACTTTACGCAGCTGTTTTCTTTTGGCTTTCACATTGAAACTTTTATGAGAATAAACAGATGAAAGAAACCCTTTTATGTGTGATTTAGAAAATTGTTTCTAGTGATTGGTTTAGTACATGCATATGCAGCTTATCCATGGATAAAAGTAAGCAATTTCTGTATAGATTGGAAACGCTATATATTACAAATTAGCTTCCACAGTTGGAATAGGTATTGATCTCCTCTTTTGATAAAACACTGAATTATTTCACATTTCCTAGGACTTCAGTACATTTTGATTATCACCAGCAGCAAAGTGTTGAATCCCGTTTGTGATCTCAAGTGCAATAGTCATATCTTACAGTTAAATATTTCCCGCACAGTTTTCCTCAGAGGGCACAATGAATTTTGGTCTTCTGCTTTTTCAGAGGCATCGCTTAAAGTGAAAGCATGTGCTTCTGAGTGGGAACATGAAGTCCGGGAGCTTGGCCTGGGGGTCTGGCTCCTGCCTCGCACCACCCCGAGACAACGAACACCACAACGTGGGTGTCTGGCTTCAGTTCTGCCAACATCTTCCTCTTAGGGACCTGACCAGAACAGCTCAGGGAGTGTATTCAAGGCGGGGGGGAAAAAAAATAATTTTACCAAAGGTAGAGCAAAAGGGAGAGTTTTACCAAAAAGAAAAAAAAGACACTATGAGAAATAATGCAGTGAAGCCTGCTGATAAGGATCACTCTCTTTGTGCTGCACACTCGTGCCCTGTATCCCTTCCATGCTCACGATGGTGCTTGTCAGCTGCTGGTGAACCTGGTTCACAGAGGTGACCCAGCCCTGGTGGCTGGCCTGGTAGGTGTTCACCTCGGGTGTCTTGGTGGGTTTCTCCCTAAATTGGCTCCCGGGAGGGTAGAAGTGTCACAGCTGGGGGGAGGGAGGGGGTAGGAGCACTCGGTAAGGGCGAGGGGCGAGTGGGAGCCCTGCGTGGTCAGCAGCTAGCTCCTGGGTTGACTTGGCTCTGTCATGATGTGGACCTGCAGGAAAGACAATGCCTTGCTTGGGCTAAAACTTTCCTTTCTGGATCTGAAGTTTTCCTTAGTGCAGCTAATGCCCACCTTTAGCTGAAAGGTATCCAAGTGCTGTAGTAATACAGTGCCTTTTGCCAGCACGCCGTTTCTCGGTGGCACCTCTTAAGCTGTTCGTTCAACATCTTTCTTACATTTTATGGGGTTAGTCCGCTAGGGTACAAGATCTTCCTCTTGATCCCACTAGATTTAGGCTTTGGAAGAGTAAGCCACGATCAGCTGCCAGGAGCTGGCAAGGGGGTGTTCTCCTGTGGGTAGTTTTCCATTACTCTTATCGGTTGCGTTGTTTCCTCTTTTGAGAAAGCCTCGGCTAATTTAGCTCTGTAACAATAACTAATTGTAAACAAAGATATGTTCATTCATCATACATGTTTAAGAAAGAAGAGTACAGCTGTTTTCAAGTTTGTCACCAGCATGTGATAACAACAATGGTATGAAATGTTTTAATAGACATCTTCAACAATGAGGATTTTGACAGAATGGTAACATATAAAAAATAAATAAACTCTCATCTTCTGTGCTTTTTTTTTTTGTTGTGCAGCAGTGCAAGATAGCCTGAAGCTTAGACATACTTTTTGCTGAAATATTTTCTATTATTGAAAATATTTTTGTTAGAGAAATTAAATCACTCCTCACTTAAAAAAAAGAAAAAAAAAAGAAAAAGAAAAAAGAAAATTAGGCTTATGGATTCTTTTTCAGAGAAATGATGACGACAAAGCTGTAATGATTAAGTGGAGACTGAAGTTTCATTCTTCTGCTATTGTTATTGGGGGAGCTGGATAAATTAAATGAAAAAGTAATCTTTCTTATTATGCGGGGCCTATTTATTGTTCAGTCACAGTATAGGTGTTGTTCCTAAATAGGAGAGGGGGTTGATTTAAAAAAAAAAAAAAAAAAAGGGGGGGAGAGAAGCCTGCTGGGCTGGGGGTGACATGTAGGTCAGTCTCTAATTGTCCCCTCCCCTTCCCCCCATTTCTTTTGCTGAGTATTGTGTAAAAATTATGGGAAAACGTTTATCTTTCATATGTGTGTCAGGTAACTACCGAGACAGTTTTTCAGTTAAGGGTTATGAGAGTGTGCTGCTCTCCTGGGTTTGAAGAGCCAAAGCGTCTCCTGAACCTGTGGCTTCACTAAAACCTTTCAAACCTTCCCTGAACTCCCCAGGGGTAAACTGGCAGTTAGAGGGGGGGGCCCCCCGAGGACTCCAGCCGAGAGGATTTTTGGTGCTGGCTTGTGGTTGTCTGAGCTCTTAGTTTCAGGAGCGTAAGAAGAGTGTGTTTCGTGATTCATCTGTGGCTGGGCTCAGTACAGAGAAAAATGAACATGTGGAATGACTAGCTATGGCAAGTTTGGTTGTTTGTCATTTATTTGTGCTAGAATATGAAGGCAAAAAATTACTCAGTTTTTTTTAATGGCTGCCTTTCTAGACTTCAGAAGCGTGTGTGGTGAAGGTCTTCATAGCAGCAGTAGGTTCAGCTTCATTCACAGGGCTTAGTTCATGAGATTGCTATATGCTATTGTCAGTGTGCTAGTTTTCTTAAAAATAAAAACTTTGGCAGAACATAAGTCTATCCTGCCTGAGAAAGATGACCTTGATTGGTGCCAGGGGTGATTAAAGTACAGTAGCAAGGAAGACAAGCTTCAGAAGCTCGGTGGTAGCTCGCCTTTTGTTAAAACAGGCTTTAGTTAATGGGCAGTGAGTAGGAACCCTCGTTCTGTAGCCAGCTCAGAAGTAAAGGATTGTATGTTGAAAAAGTGATCTTTCTGCAAATGATCTTTTTGGCCTGGTTGTGAATGACACTTTTGCTTTAGAAAAAACAAGAAGCAAAAGATGAAATGCACACGGTGTAATAGAGAGACTCTCTTCTCTCTTTTTTAGAAGTATTTTTAATACCTGGGATGCTGAGGATAATTTTGTATATATTTCATACTCTTTAACTGAATGTTTTTGGGAAGAATAGTTATATGACAGATATCTCTCTTGCCTGAGAAGCCTACTCTCAAAGGATTTTTTTTTGGTGGTGTATGTCGTGATGTATGTAAGAAGAAATATTGATCAAGAACAGCACTCTTAAAAATCCTCAGATGCATCTTTTATTTTTTTTGTAAGCAGAATTATTTTGCTAATTATACCGTTACTGTAGAGCAGGATTCTGCATGCCACTCCTTGTTATTAAGGAGTTGTTTCCCTTCTTAGTGTGGTTTCTAGCCATTACTAAAGTGAAATTTAACCTTTTTACTTTAAGTCCTTACTAAGTCAAATTCTTAATGAAGGTAATTTCAAGGCTAAGAATGTTGTTCCTGTTTTACCTGCATATAAGGCAATGGGGAAGGTGTTAGAGGGTAACTCGTTTTATAACGTATGGTATATATGATGACTGTGCAGGTCTCTGTGCTCTGGCTCATGGTGAACGTTTCTAGTAGGGACAGTTGTTTTGTTCAGAAAGATCAGAATTGCCTAATAAACAGCTATTTATAAGAGCTTCCCTTACTCCCTTTTCAAGAAATCTTTTTCCCAGTTACTTCCTAGCTCCAGTGGAGCCACTATTTGCCTCATTTTTCGTCTCTGTGTTAGTGCTTGTGCTCATTAGTATAGTTTAAGGAGGAATTGTTGATCCTTCTGATTCCACTTGTTTCTTTAAAACAGTGTAGAATTTTGGTTTTCTTCCATGGGGTGCTGAAGGATGGATACCTTGAAACCCGACGGGGTGACGTAGAAGCTCTTCTGAGAGCTTTGAGTCGTTTTTAAGAAACATACCTTGTGTGCACTCCGCTTAAAAGGCGGTGTTAGTGGACAAGCTGGTGGTCAGAGCTGATGGTTCAGGCAGGCAGTGGTAGGAAAAGTGCGGTGCTGCTGGAGGGGTGGGATGTGAAGAGAGACACCAGAGAGATTAAAGGCCTGAGTTTATTGCTAAATCTTGGAACACATGTAACGTTTTCATGCTTCCTTTCTACTCTCCTTTCCCTTCTTGTATCTATCTATATATTTTTTTCTTCTGGCTCTATGTTGTAAGTATTCGTGCTTCATGCCATCAGTGAGTAATACAACGCTCCTCTTAAGCTTTCTGCTCTAAGACTTCTTACTGGAGTTAGATGGAATAGGATTTTTTGTTACTTTTTGTTATTTTGTCTCTCGGTGAGGTGCCTTTTCTATTCATCCTCAGTAGTTTCAGCCCAACTTGTTTACTAAGTATAGCTGTATGTTGCTGATTTTCCAATTACTCTGATATCTGAAGAATATTCCTGACTCGCTAGTGTCTGTCCTGCTCCGCTTTGCGTGGTAGTGCTGTTCATTGGGAAGGACTATTTTATTTTAAGGAAACGTTTGAGGATCCTGTTTCTTTCTTGGTTGGTCTCCACGGCCTTTCTGCATCCGTCTATAATGAAACGGGTGGCATGATCTTTCAGCTTTTAGGAAGGCTACTTTTGTGAGAAAAGATCTATCTTATTTTAGAAGTAGCCTTATTCTGTGTTTAATACATATTCTTCTTCAAGTTGCTGGAGCTGCCTGTGTATGTATATGTGATTTTATACGCAATAAAAATGCAACTGAAGGGGAAAGAGGGGAAGAAACATTGACCTCCTCTGTAAGTAGCTATGGTGTTTTTTGAAGAGGTGCATCTGCCTTGGAATTTAGATGTTGTATTACAGAAAACAGTGGCTGCTGTCTTGCCCAATTCTCTTGTGTTTCTCTGACGCTCAACTTCTAGGTTTGAATGCAGTGTTCCAGTCTGGAATAGGTTCCCAGTTGTCTTGCCAGTTTATTTGGGCCTAAAAGAAAGGGGAGGGGGAGGAGAAACCAAACTGTTTCATGTTTAAATGTATTTTGGACTTATGTAAACAGTTTTAATGCATCAAGCTAAATTGGCAGGCTTTCATGATCCTCTGGGAAAATTGGGAGCTTGAAATCCAGTGGATAAATTAAAGTCACAAATACTTCTCAGCCCCAATTCTGGTTTCCTAAAGGGACGTGAAATTAGTTAAGCTTACAAATGAGGCTTAGTTAAAATAAATGAGAAGGCTTTTTCATGGTAACTTTGTAATTTTTAAGACAAAATATTTGATTTCATTATTTTGAGCTGAGGATGCAAAGCCATGTTAACAAGACAGAATTTTCTATATTCGTTATACGCGTATACATAATGATAATGGTTTCACCGCCTTTTTATGTTTTTACTGAAATTACGACATAAGGGTAATACAAATTGTTTCAAAATGTTTCATCTCAGTTAACTTACTGAGGTTAGGAAGCATGCACGTGCGTAAGTGAATTGAGAATACCAAATATACATAAAGTGAATGGTACAACTGTTAGTTTGTTTAACGTTTACTGTATGTATGCTACGCCGTTTTTCATTTTTGAGAACAAAAGAATAACGTGTCTTTTACGTCGGCGTTCTGACAAGCTTTGCACCCAGCGCTGTGCAAAACAGCAGCAGAAGGGTGGGCTCAGTTTGCTTCCTTCCCCCTGATTCACAGTCACAAGCAGACCACGCTGTTTTCTTAAGAGGTTTCCTGTTGTGTGTGTGTGCGTGTTACATGGCTCTTTAGTTAATTAGACCACTGAATTTCCTTGGCAAGTTCTGGTTAAAAGTGGCAGGATGGTAAAGCCAAAAGTTTCTGTTACGGATTCTGTTTTTGAGGATGGATATCACCTCCAACAAGTGTGGGTTTTAGGATGTTGTTATACATCTTACAGCACCTCTAGGTTTTGTAAATAACAGGCGAACTTTGGAACGACTCGGAGTTGTAGGCTGAATCCGTCGGGGATTGACCGAATTCCAAAGCCGTAGGTACCGGGGATCTGAGCATGTGGGATGGGAGCAGAAATATCTACCTAGGGTTCTTACTGCGTGAACGGACTTGGTTTGATGTTGTTGTGGTGAGATAACGCTGTGAGTTAGAGCAATTCAGAGATTACTGCTAACTGTGTTCGTTTGGGCTTCTCCAGTAGAAAGGCCTACTTTAGATTTGTTAACCTGCATTACAACTGTTACACTTTGGGATTTTTTTGTTACAACTTATCTGAATGGAGTTTTGTGGAGAAATGTGATTTTTCAGTGTTCTCAAAGAGAGGTACCGGAAGGATGTCCTAGAGCCCTTTACTATCCTCAACAGTAAGAGCAGTGTATTAAAATCTTTAAGCTGAGCGATTCAGAGACATTGCAAAACTGACGTCTGCATAGTATCACTTAGCCTTTTTTAAACAAGAACTCTAACGAGAAGAAAATTACAACTTTGTTTAGCTATGAAGTTCTGCATTGAACTGCTATCGCCTCCTGCCCCAATATGTGTTATGCCAACACCATCAGAGAGATCTGGTAGGAAATTAGTAGTTTGTGTGGCTGCAGTGCTTTCTCTAAATTATAAACATGTCTGTTAAAATCAAGATTAAGTGGAGATTAATTCTTTTTAATGAACTGGATTTTATATAGCTTTGGTAAATCTGCAGAAACCACTGTAGCTTAGCAAGTAGTCAGCAGGA